AGGTGGGTAAAACGAGGACCCGGATTGTTGTTGGGGGCAATATGCTGACTCTGTAAACCGCTTAGAGAAGGCTGAAAGCCCTATGAAGCGGTATATAAGTCTAACTGCTATTGCTATTGCTATTCTCCAAGAGCTTAATAAAAGTTATGTAGGAAATCTCTTCATATCTTAAGAACCAAGTTTTAACCTAGATTGTATCGGGGAGATTTAACTGGTTGACGGGGGCCAAGAAAGATTGGAAATGCCTTGAGCTCTAGCTAAAGAAGGTCCTGGCACGTGCACTTACATTTTCTGTTTTGGGTTTATGTTTGCAGAGACAGCAGTTCCTACCAGAGCGTTTTCCAACGAAAATCACCCGGCTCGTCTTCGCTGCAGGTGGAGGCCCGCCGTTCCATACATCCAGAACGCCAGGCCCAGGCGGCGGAGAAGGCTTTGGGGAGCAATGCAGAAGCCAAGCGATACCTCCCCCTCTGGCTCCAGCTCCTGGTGTTCGGGCTGCTGGCTGCCTTCCTGGCCTTCATCTACTTCTTACAGGGAGGGGCTGGTGATAATCCCTTTGTCAAGTCTATTAGTCAGTGAAGTCTTGGCTTTTATTACTAAGGCTTTTTATCCCCAAGAGCCTAGGCCAATCTTAGCTGACATGGTTCCCTTGGATGTCACATCCCGTTGGCTGGCATGCTGTGATTTGCAGTCTTAACCCAGTCAGAGGGCATCGCAATGGCCAGGAGAAGCCTAGAATTTTGTGTGGGGTTTTTTGGGGGCTCTGTGTGTGAATGTTTTTGTCAGTTAAGTGCCTTTTTGTCAGTTAATGGGGAGGGGGGGGAAGGAAGTGGTATATTGAGGGCCAGGGATGGAAAAGTTTCTACCAACTTTCCAGAGATAAGGCTACTCTCCATACTTGGGGCCATCCCCTTCCTGAAACCAGCTAACATGGGGCATTTTTATCTGCTGATTTTATAAGCTTGTCTTTATATCAGGAGTATGGGTGGCTTCTTATGAGGGGATGGGAGGGCATGGAGGGAAGAATTGTATCCTATCAATTGCTTTGTTGGTTTTAAATATACAAATGTACGGAATATCTAAATAAACCTCCTCATTTTTTAAGGTTGTCTTATTTCATTATTTCACCTCAGTCTAGAGCAGTGTTTCTCAACCTTGGCAACTTGAAGATGTCTGGACTTCAACTCCCAGAATTCTGGGAGTTGAAGTCCAG